GCTGCTTTTCGGTCTGGTTACTACCGTTTATGCCATCATGGCACCGGATACCGGTTAGCAGGTTAAAGCTGCAAAGAAGAAGCCATCTGAAATCTGCTGTGGTCCAAACCTCTGAAGCTGAATCATAATTTGAAATTCCTTCCCCAAAATATAAAGACGAGAGGGATCATCATGGAGGTGCATCAGACAGGAACAGGCTTCAGAGGCTTTAGGGCAACGTTTCTTCCAGGTTGTACTCGGGGAGGGTCTTTGCATACCTGAGTAAGACAACAAAATTTAGCACAGGAGGAAATGAGATGCTACGCAGTGGCTGGCATCTTTTTGAGACACGCTGTCTTCAAATCCAAGTTGAGCTAATATTTTCACAACATTTTTCATAAATGGTAAATTTTCTCAGTTTAAACGTTTGATGTTTTCTATATTCTGCTGAGAATAAAATATGGGCACACATGATCGCATCGCCTGTTTGCATTTTGTGCAGCATGCCTTCTTTTTTGGTTTGTAAAAGTTTGTGTCTGTTTGTCAGGAGTGACTCTGCATGAAGAACACATTGAGCTGCTGTCAGAGGAATACAAACAGCTGAAGAGAGAGGTAGAGGGAAAAACCCTGCAGGAAGGTACTCTTCATTTTACTGGTAAGAGACAGAAGCTAAAGAGTGTCTTTTTAAATAACCCTTGGGTTTAAAATCAGATCACGTTTCCACCAGCAGAACGTTACCCAGGGAAGGGAATATTTGGAGGATGAACGAGGCCTTCGTTTACAGTCCCTGCACGCGAGGCAGAAGCACAATGACCAGTGAAAACCAGATGAATATGAAAACTTCTTTAATGTTTGTGTGCATGGGCACAGAAAGCCTGAATGCCCCTCAGGGGGAGCATTAAAAACAGACATGATTCTGTTGTGGAAATGACAGCATGGATTTACGAACGCATCCAGAAATAATTGTCTTTTAACACAGTTAGCAGTAGGGATTCAATTCAATTCAATTTTATTTATATAGCGCCAAATCACAACAAATGTCGCCTCTATGTATTCATAGATACAGAGAAAAGCCCAACAATCATATGACCCCCTATGAGCA